AAGCTCTCATATTCTTTACTAGAATATTTTTTTGAAAACTGAATATTCATGGATGACAACATTACAATCCACTCATTTTTCATAACCCATGCATGGTTAAATGCCCATTTAATTATCAATATGGACAAGCCTTGTCTTTAGACTTTGCAAAATATATGTTTACTCGACTCAATAAAATAAAGTGTCTTAACAAAATTATCCATGCAAATCCACTCCGGGAATTTAAAACTGCTTAAAAAATATTGAATTCAGAACATGGGTATAACAATTTCAGAATTTATATTTTTTGATTTTTATTAAATTAAAAGAAATAAAATTATCTACTATGTAGTTACAATTGCGTGGAAGAATTTTTTTTCCCTTTTCTATTATTATAATATCTTTGTCACAAAATATACTTCATTCAAAGACGGATAGTATTAAATTGAGTGCATAATAGTAGAATAAAAAATTTTGAGGAAATAAATATCGATAGAAGTATTGTATTTGCTTTAAATTAAGGAAAATTTAGGTGTAGTTATAATTTTGCGAAATACTAGATAACTCAAATTATTTGACGTCCTGATTATGACTTTTTTGTCATCACTCATTTCAATTTTACTTTTAAAAGAAAATTAAAATTGAAATTATTAAAACATTAGAAAAATTGAATATTTAAATAAAGTAAAAATAATCTACTTTTTCTGTCTTCAATATCAGCTTAAATCAATATTATTACTGATCATTTGCTTAGCATTTTCAATCAAGTTCATTTTCAGACACTTTTCTGCACACAAAAATGCGGTAAAGTACCGTCACTTTGGATGCACTATCCATTAAATTCATTTTTAGAGTAAAATATTATTACGCAATTTTTATCCCAGTATTTATTTATTTAGAGTGATTCAGTGATTTCACTATTATTACTATAAAAATTACGGTACATCACATTTTTAAAAGATTTGTGATCAAATTTATGTTTTATCAGATTGTTGCAGAACATGTTACGGGGAAAATTGATTTTACGGTAAAAAGTATCGGCACCTTGAGAGCAGTTATTTATTTTTTTTACCATTATTTGGACCAGAATTTTTAACAGTACAATTGCTAACTAATGCACAACGCAAATCTCAACGTAATCTCAAATGTTTTTATTATTATTACTTTTTTTTATAGTAAAGATTGAATTAAAATTCGAAAATGTTTTTCTTTTAATAAAAAGTGAATTAAAATTGGAAAATGCTTTTTTTTTAAAAAAAAAAATAATAATTAAAATTAAAAAATGCTTTCCTTAGCAGCATTTAACTTGTTATATAAATACACGGATATTATATAAAAATCCCTTCTTTGTAAGTGAAAATCTCTAAAGTTATGGTTGAATAAGGGGAGGGATGTGTTCATGGGTGTTGTGTCATCATTATGAGGGAACTTGACGTAAGAGTTGGAGGGTTTCGCCTTTCAGCAAAAAGATGAGGTGAAAAAAAGGGGGATGAGCATGGATTGCAGGTGCTCCTTCCGCTCCACGGGACTTGGGGGAGTAGAAAAAAGGGGATGCTTGGGGGGGGGGAAGAAAGAACGAAATAGAATGCAAGTGCACGTGTTTCTCTAAACATGAAATTCAATGATCTGTTAAAAGTGAGGAATGATCCCGAGGATCAAATCTCGTTGTCATTAAACGGTTAAAAAAGGCTTTCATCTGTCCTCAAGATACAGTTCTGCCAATGAATTGTAATTTTAAAAAAATTTAAATTGAGAGAAAAAACAGGGGAAAATGAGTCTGCTTTCAGATTGCAATATAGACTAAAATGGTAATGAGCTGCTCATTTTATATTATGCGTTACTTAATAACTGATTCAAACCCTTGAGCCGAAATGAAATTTAATTGAACATTTTCAGAATGCAACTCGATATTTTCTTTAAAAGTTAAATTACGTACAAGGACGTATTTTTCGTGTGAAAATAACTCTTAACGTTTTATACTTTTCATATTTTAAGATAAATTCCCTCGACAGCTAGTGGGCCATGGCAATTTTTCCCAGTCCGTCTTCATTTCAGAAATTGATCTCCATTTTTTTATTAGAGCACGGTAATGGGGCGTTTTTATTAAATTAAATAAAGAAATAATATAAGTCTTAGATTTTAAACAAATAACATTTTATTTACAATGAAACTATTTTAGTATCCACTTTAGCAATACAACATTAATGTAAGCATTAATTTAGAATAGATGGAGAGAGAGAGACTTACCAAGTTTACTCACGGTTTCGGTATCAGCCTTTGACTGATACTCTGACTGATTGTTCGCTCTGATAGCTCTTCTAACCCCTTCCTTCGGGTGCTTTTATATCGTATTTTTTGAGCGATAAAAAGTTACAAATTTGAGGAAAGGTCAAGTCCAAACGTTATTGTTGTTTTCGAGTTTGCCCCATGATGGGGGTGACATTATAAGATTTTAACCTAATTATTTATTTGAATTACTTTATCCGTATTTAATTTACTATTTGCCGATGGAGATTTCCCACGGTAGTTTTATTTATTCGAAGACTTTGAAATGTTCTAGAAATCTAATTTTAGCCCTTTCTCCTAATTTTAATTTTGAGTGACGATAAGCGTCACGTCTTCCTCAAAAGCCGAGAAAGAAAAAGAGAGAGAAAAAAAATTCATGCTTAACCAGTTAAACTCAGAAGGAAAGTCTCTCTCTTATTCAACACGTTACATAGTTTTCATTGTATTTAAAACTTTAAGTAAACAATCATCATAAGCACGATTAAAGTGATGTGCAAAACAATATAAACAATATGCAAGAAAAGAAATAGATATATACATAACAATGGAATTAAGATACACATGAAAATCTTATCATTTACAGGAATAAAATATTATGTAGAAGAAAGCTTTTTCCAAATTTGACAAAAGAATCCTAACATTGCAGATGATACATACATTTTGCAAAATAAATTGGTAAATTATTATTATTACATTTTATAAAAAATTTGAAAATTATATGTATATATGAAAAAATGATTTGTGCTTAAAAGAGTTTAAAATATATGGGATTTATAGAAATTTTGTTTGATTAAGAGAAAAGGAAAGTTCAATACGTTCTATGAATAATCTCATGTATCGTTATGTACCATTAAAAAAAAATTTCGCAAGAAATATAAAATATATATAGAGAGAGGAAAAATAAAAATAATTTTATAAAAAATATCCAAAATAATAGAAAATAAAAATTACAACTCATCGTTTACAACAAGTAATGCAAGTTGAGAAGATGGTAATGCTTAAACAAATAATAATAAGAAAAGCTCCAAGCATTTTGAAACCAAAAAATACATTACTCAATGTAGAAAAAGATAAAAAGTTAAAGAAACCTGAGCCAGAAGAATCAGAACACGATATCACTTTAGTGTACGAGGAATTAAAATTCAGGAGATTTATACTAGGCTCAGTTAAACAAAAGGAAAGTAGCTTGTAATGCTTCATTTCTCTTGCTACGAGGCATAATTTTTCTTGATAACATTTTTGTTCAGCCTGAAATTTAGTAACGAATTCTCGTGGCTCAGTCTCCAATATAAATGACTGAGTGTATAAAACATTTTTTTGAAGTTCAACAGATACTGTTCCAAACTGGCAACTGGAATGAGCAGTAAACTTCAGCTCACTTAAAATCTGGCAAGAATAACAGCCTTTTGCAGTTACCTCGCTTTCCATAATTTTGGGGCAAATTTGTGACGTGTCTTTTCTTGCATTATCTTAAAATCACTAAAACTAATTGAGAGTTTAACAGAAGCAGTTGCCAAGAGTTGTGATACTAGGGAACCCGTGTCCATAGAAAATAAGTGCAAGTCTCTGGCCAGTGGAAGGGCTTTTTCCTTTGAGTCGGTTATTAGGGTGAGGCCATCTGGTTTCGTTGTACACCTCAATGTTGCCTCGAAGAAATCACACTTAGTGATGTCGGGATCAAATATGAAACTTTTGGTGAAGCTTTCAATGGCCTGAATCTGACCCACCAAACCAGTCATAGGAACATGTTGAGGGCTAGCTGGCGTCAGATAAGCCTCTGATGGATTTCCAACTCAAACAACGAGGGATTTAGCGAACCTTGAATTTCCATAAAAATTCCATCTTTTGTTTGGGCTGTTAAAGGGAATGTCGGTACTTCCGACGTACCATTTTCCGATCGTTCAACCTCTACTGTATATGAACACTGATGACCTACAATTGAACGTACTTCATAGGAATGTATGAGATCAGGAATGTAGAATACACGGTAAAATAAACATCCCATCCGGGAAATAATAGTGCAGCCGCTACCCACGCTTGAAGGGTAGCGGCTATAATAATAGTTCTGGGGACAAGCCAACTGACTGATGGTCTTTTCTTGCACTGGAAATGTAAAATATAACCGTTTGGATGAAAATTTGCGTTGTGCTGAAATTAGTTTAAATTTTAGATGAAATCAATTATTTCTGTGGGTGTCTTGAAACCATAAACATGTTTGGTACTCCAGATTCTTTCATGTAGTTTCCGCCGTCGTAAAAATCGCACATTTTTGATGACCGTCAAATGTTTGACAGTTTTGAAGGTCGGAAGTAATAATCGAGTGGCTTGTGCAATCGCTAGTTACTGTTGCTAAGAGTGTTAAGAGTACCAGCAAGGGCAATGTGTCACGTCTGATTTGTTGGTTCACATGATTTTCGAGAAATTGGTTAAAATTGAAAAATTGGCGCCGAGCTGAGTTGCCAACTATCGCTCCTCCTAACAGTGAAATGTTGAGAATACCTCTGATGAATTTAAAGGAAAATATAAATATATAACATAATGTTTTTCGAAAAACGTTGTTTCTTTGAAAATAAGTTGTAAAAAGAATAAAATTAAAATAACTATTACAGAAATAGCATCATAAACTAGATAAGCAATATGACGAGGCCAGCATTTGATTTGATATAAAAATTCCTTACAAAGAATACAGTAGTTTGGTGACTTTTTTCCGTCGACATTTACAGATAAATAAAGCGATGGAGGGTCTACTTCTTCGAGAAGTTACTAAGTTGATCCTTGACTCTAAAATTATTGAGGATCCCAAAATAGTTTCAGCAAAGCATAAAGTTACTGAGTTTCAGCACCCCAAGGAGTTGGAGGAAATTTTCGATTTGAACCTCGGTGATGAACCGTCATCTCTCGATACTATGGTGAAACTTTGTCAGGATGTTCTTAAATACAGTGTTAAAACTTGTCATCCTATGTTTGTGAGCCGACTCTACCAGGGCGTTAACGGATTCGGACTGTCAGGGGCGTGGCTTGCAGAATCATTTAACACTAATCAGACAACATATGAAGAGGCTCCTGTGTTTGTTTTATTAGAAAATGCATTATTGGAAAAAATGATTAAGTTAGTTGGATGGGAAGACAGCGAAGGTATATTTTACTTAGGTGGGTCAATGGCAAATATGTATGGAATGTCAGTTGGGGACTTTCATGCTGATCCTTCAGTAAAAACTAAAGGCATACGGGAGTTACCTCCTTTAGTGTTATTTATATCTGATCAGGCTCATTACTCAGTCAAGAAAGGAGCTTTATTCTTAGGGTTTAGAACAAATAATGTGATTGAAATATCTACTGATTCACAAGGTTGAATGATACCTGAAGAACTTGAAAAAGCTGTATTGAAAACTAAAAGTGAAGGAAAAATTCCATTTTTCGTTTGTGCCACAAATGGAACCACAGTAAATGGAGCTTTAGATCCCTTAAAACCGTTATCTGATGTGTGTAAACGTCATAACTTACGGCTACACGTGAACGGAGCTAGGGGAGGTTCAACTACATAACTCATAAGAATCTAATGGTCGATTCCATAACCATCGATTTACATAAGATGAGTGGTGTATCATTTCAGTGCACAGTATTTCTTACTCGCCATAAGGGTATCCTCTACAAATGTAACGCACTGCACGCGGAATACTTATTTCAACCTGATGCTTACTACGACACACACTAGGCGATGAGAGTATACGATGCTCACGAAAAGTCGATTGCTTAAAGCTGTGGATTGTTTGGAAAGCCAGGGGTGGTTTGGGTTTAGAAAAGCAAGTTGATACAGCATTTACTATGACTAAATACTTAGATAAGGAAGTGAGGCAAACTGAAGGTTTCATTCCAGTTCTTGATAAGTTTGAGTGCACGAATATCTGCTTTTGGTATGCGCCTCCTAGTCTTCGATTTAAAGAAAAGGAACCAGATTTCTGGGAAAAGATTGCAAAGATAGCTCCAATTATTAAAGGAAGAGCTGTGAAGGACGGAACTATGATTATACGCTACCAACCATTAAAATCCAAAAATTGGGTCAATTTCTTCTTCTCATGTAAGGTATATTTCAGGTTTTGCCTAAAAACATCTTTCGGTCATTCATATTTTATTTGACACTCTTCTCTGAATTTTGTTCATTTCACTTGACGTTACTTTACATCTTCGAAAATGTTAAGTTATAAGTTTATACTTAATACTATTTTCAAATCAAAAATTGATATAAAAATTAAAATGAGTGAGCGGCACGATAAACATTTTTTCAAACAATTGCTCTTACAAACGCAAGCTCTTTGTATACTGTCAGCCATGAAAAAGTTATATTTGCATTACTTCTATTTTATCTTTCCAATTTTGTATTTCAGAAACATCAGTTCTGCACAATCAGAAACAAATATTAAGACTTCCTAGTTATCTCTCTAATATGAATCTTCCATAGGTTTTGGACTCATTATACTTTGAATGTCCCTTCACTACTTTTTTATTGTGAGCTTTCCTTTTATATTCCAATTTTACTTGATGTAGAATAAACAACGCGAAACTTGTTCCTTAGATGTCAAATTGGTTCTAGTAATATGATGCGTCATATACACAATCAGGTATATATATATATATATATATATATACACAAATTAACATGAAAAACATGAATAAAATAAAAATAAAAAACTAAATGGTAGAGAAACAAGAATGGTAAAAGCAAATAGTCGTTGTCAAGACACATCTAACATATATATATATATATATATATATATATATACATATATACTTCTTCCCTTCGTTGAAACTGTACGAATGAAATGTAAAAATGACGACAAAAAAGTTATGGTATCATTTTATTTAATTATTTTTTATTTTATTTATCTATTTATTTATTTAATATTCTGACAGGAATATCTTCAAAACGTCAAGAAAGAAACGTCTAATTTCCCTTTTTTAGCTTATGACAGAACATTTCGTGGTAAATTCAAATCTTTACCTTCTTTGACATTATTACGCATTGATTTGGAACACAGAAAGAATATATTCGCCAATTAGACAAGACAAGAATACACCAACGTTAATGTAAACCTTTCTCGAAAGTTGCACCTACAGAAACTATTATTACTACACTTTGTCCCCATGTCGAAATTTTTGATGGTTTTCCATTGATGGACCAACATAATCTTGATGGTATGGTTGCCATCAATAATTCCATCATGAACCATTATGTTTCTTGATGATAACCAGTATAAGTAACCATCACCCCTATGTAGGAATTCCGACTAATTTATGATGGTCCATCATAAAAATATCAACTTATTTTGAAGGTTTGTTCATGTTAAATCATCAGATAATCATAGCTTCTTAGAAATCAAATGTTGGATCGATAATGGACAACCATCTTCCCAATGTATAAATTCAAACTGATTTATGATGGGCAAATTATTTTGATGGTATATTCCTGAGAACCAACAGGAATTCCTATTAAACCATGATGGAAATGTATAGTTGGAACCATCACGGTTCATCATGAATTGTTGGTCCATGAGAATCAAACTTTTCTTAATGGTTAACCATCATAGTATTAAATTAGCATTTTCAATCATGGAATGATGGAAGTTTGCTGGCATACAAAGGACCATGAACACATAATGGAAAATGTTGGATGAGGGTGACCATCAAATAATGTTGGACCATCATGAATCGCATTGAAACCAACATAAACCATCAAAATGATTTGATGGGATCATCAAGAATTTAGACTTGAGTCTTCATATGAAAACAATGAATAAGATTATTTTTTGAAGTAAAAGGGGGATTATTAATGAATCGCAATAATTTATATTATTTATATTTGCCCTTATTCATAATACTAAATCCATGTGCTAGAATATTTTAAAAGATGGATAAACTGTCATCATTTTAAGCTAAACAAGTAAAAAAAAATTCTTGCAAAAATCACTTAAAATTGCAATAATTTTTTTGACATGCTAAAGAAAAAAGAAAATCAAGTAAAAAGTTACGTGCGGAAGATGTGAAATAAAAATGATATCTTGCGCACGTAAAATTTCAACTCCATAGACAACAACATTTCTGTGGGGTTCAGCACATTATGGTATTTTTTACTACAAGGTTTAACAATTAGTTCCCGAATTAATTGTCAAACTTCAAACTTTTTTTTACATTTTATGTTGCATGAAAATCATTCTCCTCATCATTTCAAATTTTTAAGCCTCCTAGTTTTGGCAGAGAAAAACATAATTGTAATATGAAGTTGAACACAAAAGCAAGGGTGGCGCCACTAGCAGCTCGTACGTTTCTTTCATATCGAGAAGAAATATTTTTATAAGAAAATAGTTAAATGAAATAGAACCTCTCTTTCTCTCTCTGACAAGGAAGCAAAATAATTGAGGATGGAGGTTAAGAGTCACTGAAAAAAAAAATTTTTTGTCTCAGACTTGTTCCATCTCCAACTACAAAATCATTGATGAACTGATTTATTAATAATTACACTTTTCTCGTTTGCCGTTTTGAGATTTGGAGCGAAAATGAAAGTCATTAACATTTGTGCAAATTTTTCTGTTCTCTCCCCCCTCCCGCTATGCACCTGCACACTCTAAATGAAAGATCTTCGTAGAATGTATTTCTCCGAAACTACGGGATCTATCCTAGATCTCTCAGACGATCTTTTGGTGCGTGAGAAACACGACTCAAATCAAAATATTCATTCCAAATATTTCTATTTTAAAAGAAGACACATTCATACTGAGAAGGGGAAGAGAATACTCAGGTTTGAAAGGATCAAATAAAGGAACACAATTATTCCATCCAACCCTCAGGAATGTCGGTTCCGGTAAGAATAAATGTTTCGAATATCTCCCTCTATCTGTTCGACCATTCATAACTATCTGGGATGGAACAATTTTCGAGAATGGCACCCGAAGAAGGATGTGCCAAACGATTCCTGATGACTCGCACCCCCACTTTGGGTAGTATCAAATTCTGGAAGAAATTAAGATGTGACACTCAGATAAATAAATCCGGCGGTTTTTCTTCATTTGAAATTCTGCCGCTCTTCATTAAAGGGAGCGTCTGAACAGATTCGAAATCGCTACTAATCTGCGTAAGACGGTTACCGTTTAGAATTATGGGGATCTTTCAGAAATTGCGATGTTCTCTCAATGTTTCTCGAAACTATTCAATGAATACTGCAAATGAATCACTGAAAAAAGCAATTGGAAAAAAAGCAAGTAAAGCACTGCAAAACGTATTCGGTCGTTTTACCCAAACTTGATGAAATTAAAAATTATTCAAAGTAATTAGATTTCTTAACTAATAAATTAATATCGAAACTTTAATTTGAAGTTAATTGAAAGGAACTTCATATATTTTTATTATAATTATATATGACGTAATAGAATTACTGAGTTATTATCAATTAACATTAGTCTCTCAGGGACTTAAGATAAGTTAAAAATATGAACAAAAATAATGAATTATTTAATATTTTTTTAAGAAAATAAAAAGTTAAAAAAAGCATTATATCACAATAACTAATTGAAATGTGATACAATTTAAAAATCCTAATAATTTATTTTTAAATAGTTATGAAGCTCCTTCAAATTAATTTTTAGATATTATTTAAAACTTCCAATGAATCAATATTCAATTTACAGAATATTCTCAGTCGAAGGCCCGAATCGAATTAAATGTTCAATTCATGAGGAACTTATACACTTTTTTTCCAATGCTTTTTTTTCCCATACTATAGAATGCCTCACTTGTCTAGGTAGAAAAGTGAAATGGATAAATGCAAGTACCGTATGGTACACTTTATATTTGAAACGATTATAACACTTAAAATTCTTAAACTCTTAGTTGGTGATTTTATTAGATACGAATTTATAGAATGATTTGGAAAGGAGAAATTCATCATCGAATTTTAGTTTTCGCTGCTTACTAGAGAGAATGTTTTTAATCACACAGCTGTATATCGAAATTTGGTATGATTTCTTATTTTGAATAATTTCACCCCACTAACCTTAGTTTTTGCGCCTTCATTTATGTCGTTCTTTGGAGTTCATATCAGAAAAGTTCATTAATAGGGTTGAATTTTAAAGAGTTTTCATTATATTTCCAGCACTTGTAAAAATATAGTTTTTATTTTTAATTTATTCCTTTTGTGTATTTTCAAAGGACGTATAATGACGAAATGGGGTGCGGTCGGATTTGCAGAGCTCGAAATACAAAATTAAAAGTATATTTTGTCCATTTACCCGACTGTAAAAGCAGAAAAAGAGATGGATCCATTGCGTTCCGCCATGTTTTATTCACTCATGTTGCTATTCCA